TGTGCATGTGTGTGTCCTCATCCTGCAGCACACTGATCCTCTGAAAGGATTAAACAGGGTTTATCAAGGCCAGTGAGACAGTAGGACACACACATATACAGTGACCTGTGTCTACAGACAGTAAACTAAAGCCATGTGGCCGCAAAGCCATTTTAACTAGTTGTTTTTGTTCTGTTATATCTGAATGTGGGTCATATCTTTTGATATTTGACTTTTTTTTCTGTTGATTTCAGATAAAACTATTTAACATTTTTAAAAAACTAAATGTAATCTTATGTCTTAATGTATAATTTGTGTACTTTTCGCAAGTGAATCATCCCTATACAAGGGAAGCTGTCTTTCCTTCGTGTCTTTTTCTCTCCTTCTGTCTTTTATTTCTCCCCTCCCCCTCTCTGCCTGCACCTCCCTGCAGTCTTTGTCTGATATATTTATGGGTTATGCACAGCTGGTCAGTCAGTGTGCAAGAAAAAAAACACCCCAAAAACATGCATATTTTTCACCACAAGCCCTTATATTTTGGCCTTGGTCACACTGATTGTATTTCTAGCTTTGTTTGGTATGATAAACGAGAGCTTAAGTTTGTGCCTAAATGAGAGATGATGGTCATTTCCAATGTTGTTATTGTGGAGGATAAATATGCTTTGCTCTGTGTTTATAAATGTTTATAAATGCTCCTCTCATGGTGCTTTTCCCCCTTCCTCTTCTGGCCCATTTTCCATCTCTTGGTGGGATGGTGTTGCCACGGCAACCGGCTGACTCATGGGTAGGGCTGTACCATTATTCTTGAGTCCACAGGGGGGCAGTGAAAGGTTCAGAGCTGGATGTGATGATGTGAGGTGCTGGTGAAGGCCTTTGACACCCCTGTTATAGATGGAGGCATGTAGTGGCCAGAGATTCAGGTTTAATGAGTTGGGGGAAGGGACAAGTGTGTGTTTTTATATAGAGCATGATTGTATCAGTGAGAGTTGGAATTCTGTTCTTAGTAATTAGTGTATTTTCTTCATGGTTCTTTGAATAATTATTCTACAATAATATTTTATTTCCATTTTATGAATAGAATGCATACTTAAAACATTAAGAGTTTGTAAATAGTGCTTTTGAAAATTATATATAAAGGATTGTTTTGTTTATTTCATTGTTTTTAGCACATAATGTAAATATTTTGAAGGTTTGCACAATAAGAAAATCTGCTTACATTGTTCACATCTTCATGTCTGATTACGTTTTACAAAATAAATCACTGGAGATCATTTCTGAACACTTTGAGCACCGTTGCCATTACAGTAATTTCTTTCTGCAATGTCATCTGCAGTTATGAAGGATGAGATTTGTGTGTGTGTGTGTGTGTGTGTACGCGTTTTTGTGACAAATGAGGACATACATTTGTATAATGACAAAGGTATGACATAGGTATTACAAGGAGAAGGTGACTTTTCAGGACATTACCCCATGTCCCCACTTTTCAAAACGCTTATAAATCACACAGAATGGAGTGTATTGAAAATCTGAAATAGCACAAAGTCTCCTGTAAGGGGTAGGGTTAGGGGTAGGGTTGGTAAAGGGCAATAGAATATACGGTCTGTACAGTATAAAAACCATTACGCCTATGGGATGTCCCCACTTTTCACAAATGTAAACCTGTGTGTGTGTGTGTGTGTTTGTCTGTGAGAGAGAAAAAGAGAGAGAGAGCAATATGAAGGATGTTTGAATTGTTAAGCTACTGTTCATCAGAGGTATTTCTTTGCACGTTCTTTCTTTTCTTTTTTTCTTTCACTGCTATCTCTGGCTAACAAACAAATGATCATGTATTTCTGTTCTTGCTGAAGTGTCTTGAGACCTGATAAAGGTCGCAGAATGAAGGGTTTGGTAAGTATGAGGGTCCTGCACACATCTGTTGTTGCATCACTCTAAAGAAATCTGTTTTTTTCTTTCTTTTTCATGTTCATGTTGCTGCTGATGCTGTGGTATCTTCTCCTCCTGCTCATGTGTCTGATCCATACCTGTGTCTGCAAATCAAGGTAAGAAAACATTGAAGAACACACACATTTCTTATCCAAACAGTGTTTTTTTCCTTTATTTAAAAATAGTGTAATCATACACACATTTTATTATTCCACTTCTAAAGGTAAAAATGTAGATCTGTTTCTATAGCCACTCAGATATTTTGCATTGTATTTTGTATTCTTTAATATATGCCGCTAGTCAACAGTTTGGATACACTTGAATCAATTTGTTTCTTATAATCTTACAATCGTTATTTTCTAAAGACTTTTTACTTAAAAGTTTTGTATAGACAAATGGTCTATGTATTGTTTTTTACAAAACATTTGTGTTTGTTTGCTTGTTTGTTTGAGTGGATACATAAGGAAATGTATTGTTCAAAGGTTTAGAAAATACCAATAATAAGGAATGTGTCCAAACATTTGACTGACAGTAAACATGATATTCACAGTAGTTATATAGGCTACTATATCACCTGGTCTGTTTCATTGCACCTCAAACCCTATAAACCTTATAGTATGTCACATTTTGTTTCATATTTTCTCATTATATTCACTTATATTCATTTGGACCATTTTTTTCTGAGTGTGGTTTGTCTGTTGTTTTTGAATACTGTACTGTTGTATTTTAAAATAGACCAGCCTACATCTGAAATTGATTAAACTTTAAGCGTCATTGTAGTTTGACTGGTGCTGTTGTATGTGATAGAGCTGTCTGAGTATGTTGTGAAGTTAGTCTGTGATACCAAAAGACTAAACTGTTGTTTGGATCGAGCTTAATTTCATTGTATGAAGAGGTTGCTGACTGGTTTACTGGGAGCTGATTGGATTACAGATCGAGCCTGTGTGTGTGTGTGTTGGCTGCGTGCAGCAGCAGGCGTTTAGCTGAGTGTCGCTGTCCGCCGCTGTAGTGCTGAAACGGGCTCTCGCATCACACTCCTTCTCAGTGTCTCTGTTAACAACATTTCAGATCCGCTGTCTTTCAGCCCTCCAGCTTGCTTTTTTACAGTAGTTTTATGGTTTTTTTGAGTGTTTATTTGTCATTTGTCATTAAGAAAAAAAAAAAAGTTTGTATTGTTTTGTGTCCTTTATACATAAGCCTGTATATGCGGTTGTACTGTACGGTGTTTTCCGCTCGTCCCCTCCCCTCCTGCTATTGAAGGCGTGCGCGCAGAACTGCAGTTCATGAAACTCACCACAGGGCGGCAGTAAAGATAACACACAAACACACGTGCAGCTGTCAGTCACATGGTCATAATTTAACATACATTCTTAAGAGGTCTACAAATGTCATCTGTGCGCAAATAAAGATTTATTCACACCAGGTGGCATCAGTGATTTACACCATTACATTTATAGAAACTACAAAATACCAAAATAATAATAATGATTATTGACAAATAATAGGAATGTTACCATGCAGTGTATTTACACAGTTTTTGTATCTTTAAAGAATCACATTTTAAATCACACAATAGCAACAATCAAATTAAAAATGTTTTACAGGTGTGATCTGCATCATTCTTAAATAGACTTATACAGTGCAAAACTTATAAACTACTATGCAGTTTCTGTATCGTTAATACTTATAAATACATTGTTGTCATTATAAAGAAATTAAATATAATTATAAATATAAAAAAATATATATACATATAATTGTATATAATTATAAACACTACACAATAGCTGCATTTTTGTTTGTTTTCTATAAGACAAGGACAATGATAACATCCATTTAAATATACAGAAACAGTATAAAAACAGGGTGTCTAAAAAATATTTGCATGTTTATTACATTATCATTATTATTATTTTGTGTTGCTATTATCGACTACATATAATAACAACATACGACAAGGACAATGATAACATCCATTTAAATATACAGAAACAGTATAAAAACAGGGTGTCTAAAAAATATTGCATGTTTATTACATTATCATTATTATTATTTTGTGTTGCTATTATCGACTACATATAATAACAACATATTTTATACAACCAGCACCTTTTTTCATAATATTTGATTGGCTTAAACTCTGAATCAGCAGAACTGCACAGACCTTCATCCAGCCTCCTTTCACCATTGGTCAGAGGGAGAGAGAAAGATATGCATTGTTCTGCATAATATCTGGAGACAGGAAGCTGCAGTGAAAAAAAATACTTTGGAGAAAGATATCTGAATACCTGTCGGGGTAGTTGTGCCTCTGTGTCTTATTAAATATAGACAGATTTGAACTTTATCAGAGGATTCACTCGCGTAAGGCCTATGCAGCACCACAGACTTTAAGGACATGATCAGTATAGATGTATTTTGGTCCTTTTGAGATTTATCAGCGGGTGAGATATAGTATGGGTACCCATATCATTAAGATTAATGTATTTGATCAACTGGAATCATATAATTTTTTTGACAGATAAGTAATTCATCAACATATTTAAAATTGTGGGAATTGCTTTCCTTTAAGCCTAGAAATATGCATTTTTAATCCTATTAATCTGCCGTGAAATAAAAGCAATATTTAGAACATGTTGGGCACTATTCAAATATTATGAGATAGCAAATAGGGAAAACTGCGCCGTCTAGTGGCGTGTAATTGTAATTCTCTTTTGACTTGTTGAATATTGTTTTGTATAATACTGAATACTGAATATAGAATATTGTATGTATTAAATGGCTCTCGTATTTTGTCTCGTCAGTATTTTATCATTATAAAATTTACAAGTGCATATGTATTGCCTTGTAATGCAACATTGCCAGAGATGTCAGTAGAAGTTTTCAATGGTTTTGTGGTCTGTGGCCGTGTTCACAAATTGGCAGCGTTCCTTAGAGTCTCTAATGCTCTTTATCTCGGCTCGTAAATATTTTAAACCACATGGAATCGCTGGCATGTGTGCTGGAAACAGGTCGACCTGAGCTGTGAAAGTTTCTCCAAGCGCTAGAAGAAGTGTGTGGGTGTCTCTCTCGCTCTGTGTGTGTGATCCGTATATGTGTGTGTGTGCGCGAGCACTAGGACGGACCTCTTTGTGACTCAGTCTCCGCCCTGTTGCGCAGCGGAGGCGCAGCTAATTCAGGGAGTTTTGGAGAAGAGCTAGATGGAGGACTGTTATTCCTCTCTTGTGATTTCCCGAAAGGTTTACAGCCGTCATGAATTGTGTTAAACTTCTTCCTTCACTCCGCGCAAATCGGATTGCGTTACGCGCGACATCGTAGCGCCACTTTAATTGGAATATGGATTCTGTAAGACGAAAAGGTTGAAACTTTTCCCCTCCCCGGATCGCACATAATGGAGAGGAGACGCTCGTGGCCCGTGCTCTGCCTCGCGCTCTCCCTCATGCACCTCTCAATCGCGTCCGGTGAGCTCCTTTATTCGGTACCGGAGGAACAGAAACCGGGGTCTGTCGTTGGGAATATAGCGAGGGATTTGGGTCTCAGCGCGATGAGGATTACTGAAAGAAACCTAGAAGTCGTGTCGGGATCTAACGCGCAATATTTCGAGGTAAATCCTAACGGTGTCTTAGTTATTATAGAGACTATAGATAGGGAGCGCATTTGCGCTTTAAGTTCGACTTGCTCTTTGCACCTTCAAATTCTTCTTCAGAACCCTTTAGAAATTCACAGAGTTCTTGTTCAAATTGATGATGTAAACGACAACGCGCCGCAGTTTCCAAACGTGAATTCATCACTAGAGATTTCCGAGGCGGCCGCTCCGGGAACGCGGTTCCGTCTGGAGAGCGCACGCGATCCCGATGTGGGCATTAACTCTCTACGCACGTACAGCCTCTCCAGCAGCGACTATTTTGTTTTAAACGTGGAGACTAAAAGCGACGGTAGTAAGTTTCCAGAGCTCGTCCTGGAAAAGGCTCTGGACCGGGAGTTGCAGGCCGCGTTTCGCCTCTCGCTCTCGGCCGTGGACGGAGGACAGCCGGAGAAATCCGGGACCACCCTCCTGCTCATTAAGATTCTGGACGTGAATGACAACGCGCCGGTGTTTGATGAGCCGGTGAAAAGGGTTAGTCTTTTGGAAAACTCTCCTCCGGGAATGCTTGTGACTAAACTGAATGCCACTGATGTGGACTCTGGGATAAACGGAAAAATATCTTACTTATTCAGTAAATATACACCAGAGAGAATACTTAAAATGTTCAGTGTTGATTCTCAATCGGGGGAAATCCGTGTTGTGGGGGATGTGGATTATGAGGAAGCAAATGTGTATGACATCACAGTTCAAGCCAGGGATGGAGGCTCTCCCGCCATGGAGGGCTCATGCAACATTAAAGTGGAAATAATCGATGTGAACGATAACACTCCAGAGGTGACATTAACCTCCCTAAACAGCCCCATCCGGGAGGATGCTGACACCGGCACTGTTATTGCATTGATCAGTGCGAAAGACTTAGATTCTGGGGATAATGGAAAAGTCACACTTAGAGTATCCCAAGGGCTTCCGTTTAAACTAAAGTCAGCCTTTGGAGAGCACTACACACTTGTGACCGACAGACGTCTAGACAGAGAAGTCATTGATGAGTACACTGTTGTTGTCACTGCAACGGACTCCGGCTCGCCTCCGCTATCCTCTCAGAAGACTTTTGCGGTCCGTTTATCAGATGTTAATGATAATGCACCAGTGTTCTCGCAGAACTCCTACTCGGTGGATGTAGCTGAAAATAACGCTCCTGGTACTCCAATAGCAACCGTTTTGGCATTAGACCCAGACGTCGGAGACAATGCCCGATTGTCATACTCCATCCTACCGACCACTATCCATGGCAGCCCCATTTCCTCATACGTCTACATCAACCCCGACAACGGGAACATCTTCACCATGCGCTCTTTGGATTACGAGCAAATGAACACGTTCAAGATTGAAGTGCAGGTTCGCGATGCTGGAGCGCCGCCACAGACGTCTAACATCACCGTTCATGTTTTTGTGGTCGACCAGAACGACAACCCACCCGTCATCCTTTACCCAACCTACTCTGAAGACGCAGGGCTCCAGCTGACCGTCCCACATGGTGCCCCTGTCGGTCATCGTGTTAACAAGCTCGTCGCCGTTGACCCCGACAGTGGCCACAACGCTTGGCTCTTCTACAGCATCGCTCCAGGAGACGATTCATCACTGTTTCACATCGAACCGCACACGGGTGAGCTGCGTACCACACAGAAACTCATGGACGATGAACAGGGTGGTAAAACCCACCCAGCTTATAACTTCATAGTGGTTGTGCGAGACAACGGCCAGCCAGCTTTGTCCACTAGCGTTTCGGTTACGGTTACCATAGAAGAAAAAAGCCCGGACAAATCGACAGACTTCCGTATAACACCACACAAGGGGACGGGAGTGACGGATGTCACTCTGTACCTCATCATCTCATTGGGCTGTGTGACGTTGGTGTCACTCTTGACCATGACGGTGCTCTTGGTACGGTGCATCAGGCACAAGGGCGGTTCGACGTGCTGCTACTCCAGAACGGGCTTCCGTTCCAGGCCCTCCTATCAGCAGAGAGCCCATAAGGACCTTCACCTACAGCTTAACACTGATGGACCCATTAGATATATGGAGGTGGTTGGAGGGCCTCAGGAACCTCACACGAGGACCTACAGGCCCTGCTACTCAACACTCTCCAGCAGGAGTGACTTTGTGTTTGTCAAGACTCCCATCTTGAGTCATAACAACACACTAAACATGACTTTGACTAGGAAGCACTTAATGAACTCAGCCAATGAGGTGAGAGCATACTCATCCCCACAGCCAATCAGGTTCTTCACTGTGGAGTCACTAATGGATTTTTTCACTACCTCTCAAAAGTTTGGATAAGATTATTTTTTTTTTTTTCATCTTGTTAGGCTTTTTGCTCTTCATTTGCTCATGAGCTCATTTGCTCATTTAATTTAAAATAATTTTTTTTATTCTTTTAAAATAGAGTTTATTCCCAACACTCTCCAGCAGGAGTGACTTTGTGTTTGTCAAGACTCCCATCTTGAGTCATAACAACACACTAAACATGACTTTGACTAGGAAGCACTTAATGAACTCAGCCAATGAGGTGAGAGCATACTCATCCCCACAGCCAATCAGGTTCTTCACTGTGGAGTCACTAATGGATTTTTTCCCTACCTCCCAAAAGTTTGGATAAGATTTTTTTTTTTTTTTTCATCTTGTTAGGCTTTTTGCTCTTCATTTGCTCATGAGCTCATTTGCTCATTTAATTTAAAATAATTTTTTTTATTCTTTTAAAATAGAGTTTATTCATTTGATGCAAAGCTGAATTTTCAGCGTCATTACTCCAGTCTTCAGTGTCACATGATCCTTCAGAAATCATTCTAATATGCTGATTTGGTGCTGTATTATCGAGTTGATGTTGGTGCTCAAATCTTAATGGTTCTTATTATCAATGTTGAAAACCTGCTGCTGCTGATTTGTTTTGTGTGAGTGTGTAAATTCATTTTTACAGGATCCTTGGATGAAAAGAAACTTCAAAATAACAGTATTTATTTGAAATGTAGATATTTTGTCACATTGTCTTTATGGTCCTTTTGATCAGTTTAATATATCCTTGCTGAATAAAAGTATTTATTTTTTTTATCTTAACTACCCAAAACATTTAAATGGTAGTGTATCACGGTTTCCACAAAAATATCAAGCAGCACTGTTTTCAATACTGATAATAATCAAAAATGTTTCATGAGCAGCAAATCAGATATCAGAATTATTTCTGAAGGATCATGTGACTCTGAAGACTGGAGTAATGCTGAAAATGCAGATTTACATCACAAGAATTAATTACATTTCAAAATACATTCAAATAGAAAACAGTTATTTTTAAATTTTAATAATATTTCACAATATTACTATTTTTACTGCATTTTTGATCAAATAAATACAGCCTTGGTGAGCAGAAGAGATATCTCTCAAAAACCTTAAACAATTGTAGTTAATCCAAACATTTGACCGGTAGTACAAGTGGAAAAAAATATATCAGGTAATGTTTCAGCCTCAGAGCTGGTTATTACACATGTTGAAGCCTATTTTGTGTTTTCTCTGGGTTTCTCTGAGTTTGTTTATGTGTTACAGCATAGTTTTGTTTCATATGAAGCAGCTGGGTAATTTGTTAAATATGCTGTCAATGCTATCAAGTGTACGTCAAAGTGCCGTTTTTATGATTTAGTAACTTGCTTCCAAAAGCTGCAACAGACTGGCAGGGTGTGAGTCCTGTGACTAAACATGAAGAGAGAGGAAGAACAGAGGAAGAAGATGTGGGATCACAAAGGGAAAGGCTGCAGATATATTAAGAACAAAAAGAAAAGCATTTAGCGGTGTCTGGATTTTCAGCAGACAAGAAGGGAGGAGAAAATTAAGTCACAAATCAAGAGGCTTAGAGAGTATTGGAATAACATGAACTTTGGGATTTTAGACTTGGAAACATGGTTGTCAGAGACAAAAACATCTAGATTAGTGGTTCTCAACTATTTTTGCTTCAAGACCCAGATTTTACATTCAACATCAAGTGGAGACACCAAAATTGTTTATTGTACAAAAGTAAACATAAATGACTTTGTACTGGAAAACAAGACAAAAAAAATTCTGAGTAAGGAAACATTTTTTGGAGTGCACTGGTTAAGATGAAAGATATGAACAGAAATATGGAGCAGACATTGTGAGTGCACAGAACAGAAACTCTGAATCGAGGTTGAAAGAGACATGGATAACAGATGGACAGGAAGAGGAACAGACCAACAGACAGAAATTAGGATTTGGATGGGGGAAGGAAAAGGCGGGAATATGATGGATGGAGAGAGAGAGAGAGAGAAATAGGAAGTAGGTTGTGGAAGAAAGAGGTGATGGAATAACAGGATTCCAGAGGTCATGCATTGACCCCTGACTTCCTGTTGTGCTGAACTCATGTTATTGATTCCACACGTCTGAGTCACGTGATCTGGGATATCCCATAGTGAGTCAATTCTCACTCCTCTTGTGTAGGATTTGCCAGTTTCTTATTGCAAGTTCCTCCTGTGTTTCTTTAGCATGGGAAGCGGTTATTTGTAGAGTTTTAGTCAAATGTCATACAAGTTTGCTGTTTGTTGAAACTGAATTCCTCCGTAATCTCCTGTGTTTATGTCTGTAGGGGATGAGCCTTAGAAATTGAGTTTTTCCTCTTTCTTTCTCCCATTCTCTCCGTTCGGGACCTAATGTCCCATCTCTAAGTCTCTTGAGAGTCGTTCTGTCTCTCGGGTCGCTGGGCTGCCATCTGGCTCTGCTATCATGACACGTGCTCTCTCTCTCTCTCTCTCTCTCTCTCTCTCTCTCTCTCTGTGTGTGTGTGTGTGTGTGTGTGTGTGTGTGTGTGGTCCTCTTGGTCCATAGCAGATTCTAGACCTACAAGAATGATTTTGGTAATCCTGCGATAGTTACTCTTCATGGTTTCTTACCTTTTCTTTTTCACCCTGTCAAAAATATCTTTTGACTTTCACTTTCCTTTTACCAACATTCTTTATAACTTTTTAAAGAGTGAATCTCACATAATCTGTCCAAAATAAAATGTCTAGATCATATTGTGCTTAAAGAAAACTTTTAGAATTTAAGAAATGAGAATTTCTTGCCTTTTCTTTACAATTGTGCAGTCTACATCAATTTTTTTTATTATTGTATTGCTTAAAACATGCAGTAAATTGTATTTTTAAATTCAAAATATTGAATAAGAATCTAATGAGAATGACTCAGCTCAGATCAGAATTTTAAAGTTACAGTAATTTGTATTAGAAAAAATGTCAAATGTTCCTAAATAGTCATAATTTGTTATTTTTACCTTTTGTTCTAATTTTAGAAATTCAATTAAATATCTTGCATTTTCATTACAATTAATGCACAAACTACTACAAGTTATCATTATTGTAATGCAAAAAATATGCATGAAATTTATTTTTAAAATATTGATTCGGAATTTAATGAGAATAATCACTATTAAAATATCCAAAACAAATGACAGTAATGATAAATCTGTAGGAAATATGTTTAATGTAAAAATTGTATAATTTTCCATCTTTACTTTTTGGTTTGAAGGTGTAATGTGGCCTGGACAAATTTATGGGAAATTCATCTGTTTATATGCCAATATTTATGTTAAAACCCCAAGTTAATACATGCCAGACAGTTTTATGAGCCTAATCTGTTGGAAAGGCACCAAACTACCACTCTGTATAAAGATTTGTTACTTTCTGTATTTGTTGACTTTCTGCAGTCAGGTTATGACAGTAAACATATTTCATGACTTTCTGCCAAATTTGTCCATGTTTTTAGTTTAACCCATTTCACTTTGATCATGTTGCCATTGCTTTTCTCTGAAGCTCTTATAGTGTCCTACTTTTATTCTATTCAGCTGTGACCATCCTGATAAGTACAATCAGACTGTGGTGAGTGGGACTAAGCTGTGTGGTTGCTAGGGAGTTTTGGGTGGTTGCTAGGTGGTTCAAGTCAAAAGAGTACACATTAAGTCATTCATTAACTGGTTTCTAGACATGCATCTGCCCTTCTGTTTCTAGTGATAATGTGTGTACAGTTTATACAGAGAGCGGCCTGCAAAGTGTTTACAAGTTATACAAAGAAAAATAGATCTTTCTGGAATCAGGTAGCTTCCTGTTCAGTGTGTAGAAAATGGTTAGGTATGTTTCTATTGTGTGGTCAGGATATATGTCACATACAGATGTTTTCCATGTGATCAATGAGGATGGATGTCTTATATAAATCTAGTTTGTTCATTCACAGGATCTTTCAGAGTTGATATACTGACCCAGATGCTCCTGGTTCATATGTGTGTGCCAGATGTAAAGCTACAGATTAAGGCTGAAGGGTTATGAATTATAGTTATAATAAGAACATGTGATTCATCTATGAAAGCTTATATCTGTAAGCTCAATGTGTGAATTTATCACAGTCCAGTGGCTTTGAATGTGGCTCATTCAAATAGAATTGAGAGTGAGTATGATTCCTTTTATTATACTTTTTTGTTGTTGCTGCTCAAGTTTTAGCATGACTGATTTGATACACTCATGTTTTGCAATAGTTCAAATGTGTGTATTTTCATACATACAGTAGGTATGCTTCATCCTGCTTCAGCATGTGTGCAGAGCATTAGTGTGTTTACAGATGTCACACAGACCTTTAGGTGTATTTGGTGTGTGTGTGTGTGTGTGTGTGTGTGTGTTTGGGAGTGTGACACATCTATTGTATGTTATTTGTATAAACATTCAGTATGGAAATAGAATTTTCTGAAGGGACACTTCCCACCTGCAGCTGTGACCTTGAGTTAATGTGGTAAGGTCAAGTTGTGTGACCTCATTTTGATCGCCATGGCGATGGTGAATCTTGAATTAGAAAGGGAACATAGTGAAGTCTTATGGCAACAATGTAACAGTACTGTTTGAAAAGGTAATTGTTTTAACTGCATGCTGTTTTAAAACATATGCTCATAAGAAAGCCAGATACCTCATTATGGAAGATTTGGCTTTATTTCTGACATTCCTGCAGGCGGATGCAACCTTCATGCTCACTCACTCTGAACTCTTTGTGTCATTGCCAAATGAGTGTTTTGTACACATGAGGATATGCAGGTATCATTACTGTCTGATCCTGAATGTGACTAATGTTGTGATTGTTCCGATTAATCTGATGTGGTTTGGTGTAATGTTCTGTGTGTAGAGTGAGGTGTGTTTGTGTTTGGGTCAGAGTCACCTGTGCTATGTTTGTGAGGTTTAGGATTGTGTGTTTATGGGTTTCCTTGGCTATTTGGCTTTACTTCGTGAATAAAATTGTTCACAGGCATTACCGGGAAAAAAATAACGATGTCTACAAATTTAAAGCTTTTTTAATTCCCCTCAACTTAAATACTTAAACTTTTTAAATGAGGTGAACGACAATGATATAAAGTTTAGGTTAATCTTGCAGTTGTTGCATTTATGATTATTTGTTTATTGGTTTACCTGGCTATAGTTTTGTGACCAAAATTGTCCCCAAAATAGCCTAAATTGGGGAAAAGAAGCTATGTTTTATATGTAAATAACTGTTTTGTTTTGTTTTGTTTTGTTTAGTTTAATTTTGTATTGTTCTAGAAATGCTAAACATTTTTTCATACAGTTTAGGTTAGTAGTAATTAGGTTAAAGGGGTCATATGATGCGATTTCAATTTTTCCTTTCTCTTTGGAGTGTTACAAGCTCTTGGTGCATAAAGAAGATCTGTAAAGTTGCAGCGATAAAAGTCTCAAATCCAAAGAGATATTCTTTATAAAAGTTAAGAGTCAGCCACGCCTACCTAAAACGGCTCGTTCTAACACACCCCCACATACCTACGTCACTATGTGGGAAGATTTGCATAACGCCGCCCAAATGTTCAAGCAAAGAAAGAAGGCGTAACTTTTATTCTCGCTGTAGTATTGTTGTTGCCGCCGCTGCCATGTCGCGAAGGCGCTGTGTGTTAATTATAATTGTGTCCCCACTGGATGCAACGAATGCCTCGTTTATAAGGGGTTTTCATGTTTTTGAATCATCGCTCCAGCCTGACAGGGCATCATCACAATACGGTGAGGGGCGTAACATTTCCGTCACACGCTTGAGGTATTCGGCCAATCATAACGCACTAGATAGCTGGCCAATCACAGCACACCTCGCTTTTCAGACCGATTAGCTTTGTAAAGACCGATGCGTTTCAGAAAGGCGGAGCATAGAGGAGAAACAATAATGTACAGTATGTGGAAAATAATGTGTTTTTTTAACCTTAAACCGCATAAACACATTTCATTACACCAAATGTTACCCGTGGGCCCTGTTTAAAATATTTTAATTTGCATGTTTGTTCTATTTATTTATTTGTGCTATTTACACAATGGTTTTTTTTCAAGTTTGTAGTCCTGGTACAGAAACCGAACAATCAAATGTAAAATAGTAAACAAGGCGTGGTCACTTTGCATCCATTATAATGATACACATCCGATTTCTCTCTTAACTGTTTACGTTCACTTTAGACACATAGCCGACAGTTTTTTTTATACAGGTACAGGTTTTTTGTATGTATTTTGTATGTATTTGTCAGTTCAAACTCAATTTGTGGTTCAAGGACTGTGAGATGCTTCTCCCTGCGTGTGCGCTGTGGTGCTATATTGGGCTTTTTCACAACTTTTTGTGTTTGCATGTTTAAACTGGCTATTTGTATTTGTTCGTTCAGGCACAGGAGGACGCGAGGTAGAGCTCGGTTCGCTGTTCGTGCGTACTGAGCGTCTGCGCACTGAACACAGCGTGCGAGTACTCAGTTGATTTTTTCTGCGTCTTCTGATTGAATGCTTTAAACTCTTTTAAATGTTTAAATGGGCAAGGCTTAAAAACACGTGATAATGATAAGCTTTCGTGATGACGCGCAGCAGTGGCCCCTCTGCTGTCCTGAGCATCTTTTTAGGCTGGCCTCAGCCAGTCGGTTGAGATCGTGGGGGGCCCCCCCTCAGCCGTGGGCCCCTATAATCATCACCACCTTTCGCCCCACTAGCGACAGCCCTGCAGGTTGGTATTAGGTTATTAGGTTTACGAATGTGTGTTTAATGGTTTACTTGGCTATACTTTGCGACCAAAATTGTCCCCAAAAGTTTTGTAAATTTTTTATTATTATTAATGTATCATTTTACAATAACTAGATAAATCTGAGGTGTATGAGAACACATTTAGCACATTTTATATAAAACAATATTTTGTATAAATGTAAATAAAACAGTCAGCCCCCATTTATATAGTTCAGTAAGCATATGTTCACTTTAGAACACCTGTTGTGTGTATTCTCTGAGCTCAGCTGATGTTTGTCTGGCATTTGTGGGTGTTGCTTTTGATGCAAATATTTCCTGTGTGCCTGTGCATTTGTATTGTTTGTTTCTTGTATATGGTCTTGCCTTTTGTCTTGTTGAAATATGTGAGAATATGGAACTAAATGGGCTTTAAGTTCTATTTCATGTGAATTACTAACAGTTAATTTAAGTAAGACTGTTTGTTAATTTGGTCTTGATTAGCTATTTTGGCAGTGCTCCATTTCACTGCACAATAAGAGAATGCAGATGAAAAAGTATCCCAAATTCTAGAACTGAAAAGGCTTTTGTAATTGGTGGTTTTTTAATCATATAAGTATTTTTATTTCGGGGTTTGTGATATTTTAAATAGATAATATGCAGTGTGTTTGAGTGTTTGCTGTCCTGAGGATGGAATCACAATGGTCTTTCTGTCTTTGGCCCAATTAGTCACAGAGCTTGTTTCTCGCTCACTGGAACAATCCTGAACTCTCTCTGAGTGTGTGTGTGTGTGTGTGTGTGTGTGTGTGTGTGTGTGTGTTCAGACTGAAATGCTAGAATTCCTGCTCATCCCAGCCGTGTTTCAAATGAGCTGTCATTATTAACTGCTCTGTATACAGTATGTGTGTGTAAATAACCATAACTTATTGAGCACCCATCCATTTCAAATGAAACCTCTCTAGAAGTCAGTTGTCAAAGCTGCTTCTGACATTCATTTAGACTTTATCATACTCATGTTTCCTTTGGCACTATGTAATAAAGTGAACAAGTCTCTCGTTCTTGTGGTTTGGTCACATGCTGCGTCCTCAAGGTCACACTGACGGCCGTCACCACATTCAGGATACACTCTTACATCACTTCTCTGTCCTCATGGCAACAGCAAGGTCACACAAATAGGCTTGCAAATGAATGGGGCTGGATTTTTCTTTTTATATGTCATTACTCATGCTTTCCTTTTGTCTCGTTACAGCAAAAACCACCCGGCGCTGACTGGCGTTTCACCCAGAACCAGAGGCCAGGGCCCAGTGGGTGAGTAACACACACACACACACACACACACACACACATACGTTCACTTTACATTTGCATTATGTAAAGGCAGAAAGTCACCTCTTTTGAGAGCAGAAACATTTGCATTGAATAAAATGGTTAGCACACACACTGAGGTGCATATATATGTGTGTGTATAGACTAATAGAAGACATACATTGCATGTAGATTTGCTTGTGTATAAGAAATATAGGCTGTTAATTTATATGTAAGACAGGTATAAAGCAATTCCAAAGAGAAAGACTAAAGTCAAAAGAGAAAGAAACTATAGCTGTGCTGAATCTTAATGTTCTTCTCCTCTTAACAAAATGGCTGCTGTTTTTCAAGCGCTTTCCCCTCCACCCCCAACACTTCAATCTGCCAAGAGAAAGAGAGAGAGGCCAGAAAGAGAAAAAGAGCGGGCCACTGAGGTTTATTGCCATGCTAATGCCTGTTATAGTCATGCATTGTGCTGAAACTGATTGGAACTATTAAGATGCCAAAGAGCTTTGACTATTTCAGTGTGATTGACAGCGAATCGTCCAATCAGATGCTCTTTGGGGGGAGGGGTCGTTCACAGGCAGCCAATAGGGTCCAGATTCTCTTGTGTGCCAGTGTTCATGGCGCATCAGTTTCCATAACACATGTTACACAACACATTCCAGCCTGACAGGACCCAGTTTGAAAGAATCCATTTGGAGGAAATTAAATATTTTTGTTTAGTTTAAACTGGCAGCGCTACTTATATCACAGCAGGCCCAAAGATCTGTGTGTTGTTAGCAAGGTTATTATACTGTAAAAAATAATTGTTTGAAGTTGTAAATAAAACAAAGGTAATTGGAGTATGTTTTACAAAAAATACTATTTCAGTCTTTCTGCTTTAAAATTTCATGTTTAATTTACTTGCTTGTCATTTTTATAATTATTTGGGTATTTTCTTGCAATTTTTGAGTGAAAATAGTTTCAGGGTACAGGCAACTAAAACCATAAAAAAAACACTTGAAATAGTGAAATAAATACTGAAATAAAATAAAATATTAAAAGAGCCTACCAAGTTACTTACAGCATTTCTCATTTTCATTTGACTTGATGTACTAAAATAAGTAAAAAATAAAATAAATAAATTATAAATATAAATTATAAATACATATGAATCTAAATATTATTATATTATTAAAAATTATATATATATATATATATATATATATATACATAGAGAGAGAGAGAGAGGGAGAGATAGATAGATAGATAGATAGATAGATAGATAGATAGATAGATAGATAGATAGATAGATAGATAGATAGATAGATAGATAGATAGATAGATAGATAGATAGATAGATAAACTAATACAACTAATAAATAAAGAACTAATAAAAATTACAAAAATAAAATAAAAATGCTAAAATTTAAGCTAAAAATAGAATTAAAACTAATTAAAAAATCAATTAAAACTATAATAGTATCTCAAAGATACTAAAATAACACAGTTCTTCAGTTTTAAACTTATTTTACCTTAGTTTCTGCCAAAATACCATAGTTAATATCAGTCTTTTCTTTCAGTTCCTTCAAGCTCCAGTCTACACACGTAAGATGGACGCCGCCGAGCAGGCTGAGGTATTGAAGTGTAGCTAGAGTCCCTGCTCGTTCCTGTAGGATCAGGTTCCTCATCTGAGACTATTGGTGCTGCATTAGTGTCCTGGAACGCTGGGGCCATTCTGCTCATAGAATAGAATAGAAAACAGTGTGTAGAGTCGTGTACGTTAGTAGCTTCGACCTTGTTGCAGCGCATCCCACGGTTTTGGATCCGTGAAGGGAATTGCACAATGTCCTTTGTGTAAATATTTGAAATGGGTTTTATGAATGAACAGCTACAAACAATGACATCTTGGACTATAACTTTCACATTTTTTATACAACTCACAATCTGGTCCACAGGAAGTGATTATCTGACCACAGGATGTGATAATGCTGACCACAGGAAGTCTGATTTTCTGCACGTGTGATGAGACGCTGATTGTGGAGAAATGAGGCATCTTATGCTACTAAACAGGAAATCTTGTCTGTCGTCCTGAAGTGTTGGGCCAGGATATGGCGAGTTAACCCGATTTGCGTTGTTCTATGTTTAAAAGTGGCGATGGTTAAGTTGTTAAGGATCTGAACTGGTGGCCCAAATGTCTCAAGACAGTTTGATCTCAGTACTGATGCATCATATGAACTGAATAAATCACTGCTCTGGTTCTCATTAGGGTTGTTCGCTCTAAAACAACATCACCCTGTTTTTCCCTCATCTTGGCACTGTGAGTTTATCTCTTTTGAAATGCTTGGCATAAACAGTGTCTTTCCCTCCGCAAATGTTTTTCTGCCCTTCATTCTTTCTGTCACTTTTTCCTTTACATGCTTAAATTCCAGTTTTTGTTCTTCATGCTTTCTTTCTTTCTTTCTCTTCCCAGTGTGTTTCCTGTCTTTGAGTCTGTTTTAGCCTCCTCTCCTACCCGTCCTGCGGTCGTGTCTTGTATGCAGATGTTGTGCTGTGCCGCTGCGGTTGATTGTCTAGTGTCTGTGATGATAGGGGGTTTTTACAGCCGCTGGGCTCATTTAAGACAGGAAGTGAGACCCCACGAGACCCCGACTTCAGAGACAGATGGCTTTTAGCATTAGCATCTCATTCTCTCTCTGTGCTAGAGGAGCTTTCCTCAGATCAGATCAGATCAGATCAGAAAATTATTTAGAGTTTTCTATAAATCAAAGAATCCTGAAAAAATGCATTTATCACTGTTTCCACAAAAATATTAAGCAGCACATTATATATTAACTCTTTTTGAAATTAATAACAAGAAATGTTTCTTAAGCAGGAGATCAGTATATTAGATTGATTTCTAAGGATTGTGACACTGAGGACTGGAGTAATGATGCTGAAAATTCAGCTTTGTATCACAGGAATAAAGTATATTATATTCAAATAGAACATGGCTTTTTAATTTAAAAAATATTTCTTAATATTAAAGTTTTTACCATATTTTTTTATCAAATAATTGCAGCCTTAAAGGGTTAGTTCACCCATAAATTACTCACCCTCAAGTCATCCTAAGTGTATATGACTTTCTTCTTTCAGACGAATCCAGTCGGAGTTATATAAAAAAATTGTCTTTTGATCTTTCAAGCTGTGTCATGGCACTCAGTGGGTGTTGCAGTTCATCAGTCCAAAAGAAGTTAAATAAAAAGCACCCATCCATAAAAAAAAGTGTCTCACACGGCTCTGGGGGGTGAACAAAGGCCTTCTGTAGCGAATCGATGCGTTTTTGTAAGAAAAATATCAATTTTCAAAACGTAATAATAATCCCTTTAATGTAGCTTGCGCTCACTGTTGTACAGTTTGCCTGGAAGCAGCTCCAGGCGGATGACGTATGGAGGTCAGCTTTGCGCATGCGCTGCTCAGAAGTGACGAACGCGGAAGCGCAGGGGAGAGATCAAAACAAAACAACGGTCATTTATTAGAAGTACAAAACGAGGATTTGTAAAGAAGAATGTCGGCGGATTTCGATATAAGCCAAGAGGAGACTGGTTTTCCTTTGCTAAAGTAAGGACACTTTGCTTTCTTTGCTCCTGTTAACAAACGTTGGTTTTCACAAGACTCATGTCTTGCGCAACGCTGAACTCATACGTCATCCGCCCGGAGCTGCTTCCCTATACAACTCTTGGCGCAAGCTACATTAAAGTGATTATTACGTTTTGAATATGGATATTTTTCTTACAAAAACGCATCGATTTGCTACAGAAGGCCTTTGTTCACCCCCTGGAGCCGTGCGAGACACTTTTTTTTAATGGATGGACACTTTTTATTTAACTTCTTTTGGACTTATGCATGCAACACCCGCTGAGTGCCATGAAACAGCTTGAAAGATCAAAGACAATTTTTAATATAATGCCGACTGGATTCGTCTGAAAGAAGAAAGTCATATACACCTAGGATGACTTGATGGTGAGTAATTTATGGGCTAATTTTCATTTTTGGGTGAACTAACCCTTTAATGAGCAGAAGACATTTCTTCTACAAACATTTATATAAAAAAATCCTTAAAGTTTTGAAGGGGTAGTGTGTTTCCTGATGTTACTGGGAACAGGATGCGGAATCTCCATTATTCTTCCCACACGCAGAGAAAAGACATCCGGGATGTTTTTTTTTTTATGAGGAACAGCGATTTTGTCCTTTGTTCACGTAGCCTTTACTAATAAAGGAAAGTTTTTAATGTTTTAATTAACACATTTTGTCCTGTTTGTGGAGCTGTAATCTTCAAAACGAAACTCCTGTGTTTGTGGACAATTAATGGAGGTAAATTGGAAGTGTATTTGTTGCTTTTCCTGGTTACCAACAGCAAAGCAAGCTTTGTGCGTGTAATGAGGTGAATTTTAGTGCCATCAGGGCGTGGAGTTTTTCAACAAGCCTTTGATTATCAAGTCGGAGCACATGGAAGTGTTCAGTGGTTTTGTGTGCATTTGCTGTAGTTTTCAGCAGCTGTTACTGCTCATTCTCCGCTCGTTTTCGTTTTCCAACATGGTGCAGTTAAAAGTAACATGGAGGATTTTGTGTGTGTGTGTGTGTTAAATTAGGGCACAAACCACCTCACACTCACTGCAGCTGTTGCTGATAGCAGCAGTACAGAACGGCCTCTGTTTTGCTGACTCTATTTCCTTTTCCTCTCTGCAGGGCTGCCGCCACTCCTGAGGTTGCCGTGGGAACAGGACCCTGGCCCAACCCTCCAACCGAGGCCGAGCAGCTCCAGGCGCTGATGGCCGCTGCTAACGGTGAGAATCTCTCACTTGCTCTTTTATATCACTATGCATTCTATTGTGCATATGTATTTTTGAAAACATGAGAAACATTGACTTTGTTGCATTGCTGTCTGATTATTCAGTCATTTACATCTTAATCAGATGAATTTTTGCATATACAGTATGTTTGTCTTGCATGCATGATTGACAATCATGTTGAATGAGCACATGCACAGTCACAGATGTCCATGTGGGAACACACACACACACACACACACACAGTTCAGTGGCCCATATCTATACAAACCACATCAAAGCTGTTGACACACAGCAACATGACATCAGCCTCTCTCATGTTTCCCTTTATTTTCACTGCTGCTGTGACTGAGCAGGAATAAAAAGAAAGTGACTCATCACACATTCACTTAGTTGCTGTGGTATTTCTTAATAATTTCAATGGATGCTGCTGTTACATAAAGCTAATTATGACTACAGACTAACTCTAAAGGAATGCTGGTATTTTGCCTGTAAAACACATGCATTACAAAAGATTTGGGTTGGGTTTTTGAAGTCATTAATTCTCACCAAGTCTCAAAAATACAGTAAACAGTAATATTGTTAAATATTATTATAATATAAATGTTTTCTATGAGAATATATGTTAAAATGTAATTTATTCATGTGATCAAAGCTGAATTTTCAGCGTCATTACTCCAGTGTCGCATTATCCTTCAGAAATCATTATAATTTGCTGATTTGTGCTCAAGAAACATTTCTGATTGTCAATGTTGAAAACAGTGTGGAATTTAATTCATTCTTGCTGAATAAAGGGGGAAAAAAATTCTTACTGACCCCAAACTTTTGAACTGTAGTGTACGTCCGCTTATGTAAAAGCAAATTAGAGCAGATTGTTTTGGCCAGATCCTAAAGCCATTCACACAGACACATGAGAAGCAAGTGGAATCATTTTATATTTGTTCTACAAAGACTCTGAGACAGAAGTTATTGAGTTATTTGTTTCCCGCTGGAGAGCATCACTGTTTCCACTGTTCTGTCCAGCACTGTTCTGAGATCAGACATTCAGCATTTTTCCATTAACACTCAGTTTGTTTGAATTTGTCATTGTTCTTTTTTGTAGGTTGAAATCTTGTAGAATAAGCTTTGTTGCATAGATGGTTTACTGGGACTTAATATGTGACCCTGGACCACAAAACCAGTTATAAGGGTCAATTTTTTAAATAAATAAGCTTTTCATTGATGTATGGTTTGTTAGGATAAGACAATATTTGGTCGAGATACAACTATTTGAAAATCTGGAATCTGAGGGTGCAAAAAAAATCTAAATATTGAGAAAATCGCCTTAAAAGTTGTCCAAATGAAGTTCTTAGCAAAAGTAAGTTTAGATATATTTACGGTAGGACATTTACAAAATATCTTCATGGAACATGATCTTTACTTAATATCCTAATGATTTTTGGCATAAAAGAAATATCCCTTTCAAAAAAATTGACCCATACAATGTATTTTTGGCTATTGCCACTTAAGACTGTTTTGTGGTCGAGGGTCACATATCTTAGTCAAAAAAAGTATGAGATTGTATATCTTGATTTAAGTACTGTATGCTTAGATATTTTTATTGGAAAACAGGACAAAACATAAATTTTTTCAGTTTAAATGAAGTAAAAAAAATTCTGACCCCAGTGGCAGATAATATTTATAATTTTAAGCATAAACTAATTTAATTTTGATACAGTTTTCAGAAAACAGTCCTCAATATCTTAAATTATTTTGCTATCTTAATTTAAGAATGTTTAGATATGTATATGTACTTGATTTTGGCAAAATAGGCAAAAATACTTAGTAAGAATATAATTTTTTGCAGTGACAGTTTATTCATTTAGCAAATGCTTTCATGCAAAGCGACTTGCTTTTTTTGGTGACTTGCTATTTTTTTACCATAACATATTTAAACAAATCATTTAAAAAAGGGTTCATGAGCTGTGTGAAATCTTCTCAGAATCACCTAACAGAAACCTCTTCTCTCTGCAGAAGTCAGCGAGGCGACCAACACTCTGGGTCCAGGCACCATGGGTCTGAGCACCCGCTACAGCCCTCAGTTCACCCTGCAGCACGTCCCTGATTACCGGCAGAACGTCTACATCCCCGGCAGCACCGCCACCCTGACCTCCAACCAGCAGCAACCCCAGCAGGCCCTGCCGCCTCCACAGGCCGCCATAGCCGCTGCCCAACCTGAGCCGCCCAAAGCCGCCCAGACGCCCGCCAGCAAGAAGAAATCCACCAAGAAAGATAAGAAGTAGAGAGTCGTAGGTAGATATGAGGTTTAGGGAGATTGAAATAGCTGCACGGCTCCATTCTGTGCTGCTCTGAGGTTTGCCTTTTTAACAGTTTGATCACTACTTGGATCACAAAGTGGCCACAATCTACACATTATTACTCTTCAGTTCAATTTAAATGTGTTTAATTGCCATGACAAATTTTAAACTGTAGTGACAAAAGTATTTTAGTTTTTCATGATCTCTTTTAAACTGATCTAGTTCTTTCAAATAAATATCAAAGTCAAATATTTTACTTTCTTCATATGTTCTTGCTGTTATACTGAACCAGTCAACTGTGCACCTTAGTCCAAACAAAGTTATTGCCTTTATAATCTTTCATCACAATGTAATAACTTACTCCACTGCTGAAACTGAAACTATTCAAAAAGGCTAATGTCATGTAAAAATGGTAACCAATAACTAAATAGCTATTTAGAGAGAGGAGTTAACCTTATTACATATAAACCACTTTTAGAAGTGGGAGATAAAAAGTCAAATTTTCAAACTCAAAACTGCTTCTTTGGGCACCTTTATTTTTTTCCAGTGTGCTTTATAATTTCAATTAAAGTTTTAACTGTGAATGGTAGGCCATGTCTACATAGTACATCTAACTGTAATGTCAAAATAGCAAGTAAAATGTAGTTTTGTCTCTGATATGAGTGGAATTTTAACACATTATTACTCTTCAGTTCAATTTAAATGTGTTTAATTGCCATGACAAATTTTAAACTGTAGTGACAAAAGTATTTTAGTTTTTCATGACCTCTTTTAAACTGATCAAGTTCTTTCAAATAAATATCAAAGTCAAATATTTTACTTTCTTCATATGTTCTTGCTGTTATACTGAACCAGTCAACTGTGCACCTTAGTCCAAACAAAGTTATTGCCTTCAAAATCTTTCATCACAATGTAATAACTTACTCCACTGCTGAAACTGAAACTATTCAAAAAGGCTAATGTCATGTAAAAATGGTAACCAATAACTAAATAGCTATTTAGAGAGAGTAGTTAACCTTATTACATATAAACCACTTTTAGAAGTGGGAGATAAAAAGTCAATTTTTCAAACTCAAAACTGCTTCTTTGGGCACCTTTATTTTTTTCCAGTGTGCTTTATAATTTCAATTAAAGTTTTAACTGTGAATGGTAGGCCATGTCTACATAGTACATCTAACTGTAATGTCAAAAGAGCAAGTAAAATGTAGTTTTGTCTCTGATATGAGTGGAATTTTAGAGTCTTGCAGTGAACAGCATCTGGAGGACAGATTAAAGTCTGTGGAAACAACGATATTAACGTCACACAGAGAGTGAATAAACAGATAATTTGATTTAAGAACCATCATGTCCAAACAGACCCGTATGAGCCGAACACTGAGTTCACTGCACCGAGACTCAGAGGAGTGTGAGTGTGTGAAAGTGTGACGGCCGAAGTGCATTAGACACACAGACTCAGACTTCAGCACCATGGCGACAGGTGTTGTCAAGGCAATAAAGCAGCTGCTTAGGATATTCTGGGATGTTGCCCTCATACTGTTTCCCAAATGGTTTGACATAGAATTGTGAGGAATGCAACAAACAACCAATCACAGATCATCTGATAATCAAGCTGACCAATCAAGCTTCAGTCTCATTTCCACCCAAACATAATGCCTTAACTATATATACAATTATTAATATCCTTATGAATATCCTATTAAATGAGCAATATCGCACGAGTAGCCATGTGTTAGCGCTCTATGTTAGCACAGCTGTGATCCGAGTGCCGTAATAACAGCAGTGCTGATATAGAACAATGTCACATGGGATAAGTACAGTACGTAAATAAATAAGATAGAACCATGGAGTGTCTTAAAAAACATTTTGTGTTCGGAACTACTTCCTTCTGCAACGGATTCAAATCTGAAGTTGACAGATGAGCCCAAGCCTCAGTTATTAATTTAAAAAACACTTTAGAACTAGAAGGAATGTTGAGTTACTTGACACAGACTAAGTGAATGATATTATGTAGAGAGAGATGGACTGAGCAAGATTACCTTTATCTGATACTGCATCAATCACATATTCAGAACAAAACATTAGTTTGAATTTCCGCTGAGGAAAGCGATATCTTTGTCTTAGTATCCCTTTCAACTGTTACAGAAATGTCCCATGATAATGTGGGCCAATGCACTTACGAGGTATTTCTGAAGGTAAAAAATTATGTAAAAGTCTTTGCTCCTGACTCATAAAGACAGACGCTTGTCACCATCAAATGACAAAACATTGTAACCAAAATCACCATCACTAACACACAGACCGCTTCTCAATACCAAATACTATTACAATTATTATTTGTAAAAAAATATTATTTATTTAATATTATTTATTACATTTAATAAACCACAACAGCCATTTTAAAAGTTGCTAGGCAATTCAGTCAAAAGTACAAAGACAGTCCACTGATCCAGCATTAAAGTTATACAAAAATATAAAGTTATGAAACTTTGCCCTCAGTCGAAACTGTTTGCTCTAAAACAAATAATAGATTAATGAGACCAAAGGCTGCCTGTTAGATTTACCCAAACAAATTACATCTCATGCCGCTATAGGGACATCAGAGCCAGCGGCAAATTCCAGAAGATCAGGCCGATGTGAGGCTACTCTCAGTGGGTTCATGAACGCTGAACAGCTGCTGACGCCCTGGAGCTCACATCTCCGAGAACATTGAAGCAAATTTTCATATAGGTGCTATCTTTATTAGCAAACCACATATTTAAGTCTAAACAAGTACATTCTTGTCTAAAAAAAACTCTTAAAACTACATTATGTGACACAACAACAGTAGTATATCAGTAGTTCTCACTCAACTTAACTAAGGTTTTCTATAACTTAGGCTTACTATGTGAATGATTTCTACTACGGTAATTGCTGCATGTTGAGTAAGGTACTAAAATATTTTATTAACAACATTTTTAGGTTTTACAGAGTGGAATAACTCTGGTTTCACTAGTGCTACAGAAATGACACACAACAGCCGCAAGTAATGTGTGCTCAACATTACTAAATATATCAACAACAAACTCATTAGGACTAATGGTAAACATTGCTGGAGGGTGTTTGGCTTTCTAAATTTAAAAAAAGAACCTGTCAAGTCAAAGATCAGGATGGGAGTAATCTAAGAAAGAGACCTACAAAATTATAAAATATTCTATTCTAAAATATTCTAAAATCTCAGAGAGGAGCAGACACATTGATGCTGTTATTTTGGCGCATTTGGCTCTATATATAAACATACAAAATGTCTTTAATGGGCTGGTGCATGTTTATGGTGAAAACAGAACAGAGGGAAAGAGGGTTTTGTGGTTGTGGTGGTGCTGCAAGGATTATTTTGGACCGTGTTCTTCCCAAATGAACTCTGACAGTGACTGAACACAGTCCAGCAATTCAGCAACAAAAGCTTCCTGAAATAACAGCAGGAAGTCCAACTGCAGAGAAAATTCCTTCACAGTGTCAAGTCATCACAGATCTACTGCCCTACTTTATCCACAATCCCTCTGCCAACAATCCTCTGAGTCTGTCCGGAAAGATTAAAGAGCCAATGAGGGAGCCAGATGAAAAGGCACATTTGAGTTCATCTTGTTTAAATATTAATTACTCACAAAATACTTTAGATCATGTAAAGCTATACTAAGTATAGTGCACTAAGAGACCAAAATCACTCTGCCTTGACACCAGGCACAAATGCATGCTGGGTAACCATCAATACCACAATAATTACTTCAAAAATAGTAAGTAGTAGATATGCAATTCTAAACATAGCCACAGTCCCTCCCAACTACTGTAGGAAAACAATATGAAGGAAATCTCTATTTTGAACAATGACTGTGCAGAAACAAAGTTGTTCTGGTTACCAGGACCATAAATAAAGGAGGATGTAACGGTGACTCAGTTATACACGTGTCAGCCCCCATGAAACTCACACACACTCAGCCATGAACAAACAAGTGATTCACACTGATCTAAAGAGCTTTTTGTGAGTTTTTGGAGGGGGAATGATGTCATTATTGCAGAATTGTCACCTTTAGTCACCAAAAATCCTCATGCAAAAGTCCCTGTGTGTCCAAAGTTGGGTTGAAACAACCCAGCATTTTTTAGAGTGTATGGAGTTTATTCGGCCATAAACTTAATCACACTGTCTGATTTTTGCAACAGTCCCCTGGGTCTCTTACAGACTAAAGGGGTAACATCATGGAAAACTTTTGATGAAATAACATTCATGACTTAAAACTCCCTCTCCAGTCCACCCCAAACATTTATTGAAACTAGCCTGTACCAAAAAAAATAAAAACATTTTTTAGAAATACTCATGGTAATAAAATAAAATAAAAACCGGAAAACAATAAAGTTATAAGGAGTCCAAATCTACAATAAATAAATTAAATAACAATAAAATAATATAAAATAGTTTCATTTGAATTAATCTCGGAAAACAACAAAATTACAAGGAGTAAAATAAAATATTATTAGTAATAAAATTAAATTAAATGTGGAAAACAAGAAAATGATAAGGAGTCCAAATTCAAAGGTCCAGCACATAAAACTACATGAGTTCATTTCTAAAGATCAGTATAGATCATTCAGACACTTCTAGGACAGAAGAAACAATGTGTCTTTATCAGTCAATCAAACAGTCACTGGTTACTCACATGACATGTCATGTCCTCAGGCAATTGCCCTCTGCTTAGATGACCTGCAGTCTGATGAGGCTCACAGCATCATGGACATAAAGAGACTCCCCCTCTCTCTCTCTCTCTCTCTCTCTCT